TGTCTCTTTTCAATTGACTTATTTGCTAACCTCAGCAGCTACCATTTGTGCTAGATGATCTTGTTGAATTTCTAAATGTTTTAAATTTCTATTATGAGAAAGTAAATAATATATTTTATGTACTTTTACTGCATTTGGTTTTCAACACTGGAGTTACGTAACCATAGGTAGTCAGACATTTCAGCACACTGCTTATAAAGAAAAACTCATGGACAGTTTTTCACTGTTAAAGACAATAAATATGGTTTACCATATTTCTTAGGGTGTTATGGGTAAACTTTATATATGTGTGTGTGTTAATTTTTAATTAATTTTATATAAAGAGGTATAAAACGAGTGATATTAATACCAAGTTATTAGTTTATTTTCACTTTCATTTTATGAGTTAATACAAACTGTAAGTTTGCTAATATGTAAATTTTAGAAAACTGGTACTTGTAAAGGCCATACTTTAAAGGTTCATTCCATTAATCTTACATATTTATCGACTATGATCTGTAAAGTTATGTGGAAATCATGCATACTGATGTCAAGGATTCGATATGCTCTAAAGTTTCTGTCTTGTAGCATAGTTCAACAAGACAGACTCTGAATTAAGATTGCTGTTTCATTATCTTTACGTTGATAACAAAATACAATGGTTAATATTAATGGTTATGATTTTAGGGACTAGGTTATTGATATCTTAAGAAAAGGGAAATTATTCTGTATATATATATATATATATATATTAAAGTTATAAAGGCAAAATGTATTAAGTATAGTATCATATGTTATTGATGGTGTGTTTTTAAAAATTCAAAATAATCCACATATCAGAGCACGAGAAGTATAAGTTATTGTAAGTCAGAGATAAAATGCAAAAACTTACAATAGATTAACAGTGATAAGGGTTAAGGTGTAGGTTGTACAGCATCTCAGGTTATGAAGGCATGTTTTGAAGAAAGTGAGGGAAAATGAATTTTGAATTAACAATAGTCAAAGTATAAGTGTGGGGAGTACTTCACTTTTGCATTGATGACATTTGAAAAAAAAAACTGTATATTAATATAAAAAGTTAAAGTGTGGAAAATATTTCATGGTACATAAGTGATAGTTTATTTAAAAAATACAAAAAAGGCATAATAGACTAAAGAGGGTAAAAATCTAAGTACAGGAAATTAACTGTTGATCAAAGCAAACTATCTATATGAACCAAAACTAATAATTAACTCGGTAATGAACATGGCTGATTTGATATACCATTCTTACTCACAGTGGTGTAGCCAGGTATGAAATTTTAGGGGGCCTGTACTTAGATGGATGAGCAGGAGGCATACAAACTCTGAGGCAAGTTACAGGAAGTAAAAAAAAAAATCAAGTAGACACTGATTGGGTTGCTATGGGTGTTAAGTGTGTAAGCTATGGCCTGCCCAGGCCCACCCATGCTACACCAGTGTTTACTTATAATAAGTAGAATGCATTGATTTATCAATTGGGTACCACCATTGCTAACATTATTTTGGCTTTAATCTCAATAATATCTTGCAAGGTTTAGCCAACTAAGAAAGTTTAAATTTAGTCCCCAATCAATATACTAAGATAAAGAAATCCTCATAATGAAATATATAATAATAAAAATAAATATGTATATATTAAACATTCTGACAAAAATTGTTAATGAAAGTGACATTCAAGAAAGATAGATCAACAGTGGTATATTTTAAAAACATAAAAATTGTGAATTTTACAAAAACTTAGTTTAGAAGGATGATGTCATATACAGAGTTGAGTACTTTATATTAAAAAGATTTTGAATATACAAATTGGCAAGTCACATGAAAACCACAGCTGATGTAAAGTTGCAGTGGAATGTAATATATTAGAACTACATTTCTACATTGTTTGACATTTCATACGTAGTATAAAAAGTAATTGCTTTTGGAAAGGATACGTAACAGTCCTTTCTAATACAAAATACTCATATATTCAGATCATAAAGATGTATTCAGCTCAGGGATTTAAAATTTTGGAAATATCGCTTATACTTAGAGTTATTTGAAAAACAAAGGATTGTGGATCAACTTTGGGTATCCTGGACCACCCAGAGAGAGAGCCCTGCAACAAGTCATACCACAGCTATGAATAAGCAAAATGGCATCCTGTAACAGGTGAGAATCTACGAAAACAAAGTTCAGTGTCAAAAGCCATCTATGTGCTAAAGGCAACAGTATGTAACAATAATCAATATTCTTTGTCTGGAAAAATAACACCAGTCTTGGGTACATAAGTTGATCCCACAACATATCCTTCAACCATTTCACACATCAAGCAGCTGGAGAATGAAATAATAAGCATAAATCAACGATGGTAAGGGTAAGATGTGGAAAATTTGGTATGGCAAGGTTTGAAAAGTGAAAAATCATGCATCAATAGATGTTAAAATTTTTGTATAGGAAGTGTAAACTAGGAGAGCTCTAATTATTAAAAGTGGAAGGCATTACACCAAAAGTCACTAGTACTAAGAATATACACTGCTCAAAACAGTTGAAGAATAATAAGTTTTCAATATTCTATCTCTGACATGATGTAGTTCTGGTATTAAATTATGTTAATGACGCCCTTGAATTAATCTTTATACAAAACAAATGTCATATGACTAGTAGTATGATCTGATGTGCAAATGCCTAGGACCTGATTTTAAAGGAGGGCAATAGAGACATTTGTCCAGGTACCTGGATTGCTGAGAGAATCTACAACCCAGCTTAAGATACATATAGCGATTTCAAAAACAAAATTATTTATCAGAGGTTGAAATTCAATTCCCTTGCCTCATGATCACATTACGTAAACACTGGCGTTTCTTACTGGTCGTGTATATGTATGTATATATATATATAGGAAGACGACAAGATAGAGAGCGTGTACAACAGAGAGACTAACAGGAAAAAAAAGAGTAGAAACTTAATGCCCGAATTACCTTTAGCTGGTTCGCTGTATAGGGTAAGGGTACTTCCGGCAATTGAATGAGAGTGTGCTGTATATAGTGCACGGATTACAAACATTCAGCGCGCGTTTAGAGCAGCCGTAGTCAATGGGTTATTCTATCCCTGTCTATCACTTTCGGGGTAAAATCACCTGGATGGTTTGGTTATACAACATAAAATGGGGCATTACTTTAAAGCTGGAATATTTATATTCAAAATTAAATAATCTTTACAATGGCATAAGAGGGCATTCAAAGGAAATTCAATGAGGCTTAATCCTCCTACTCTGGCATGGGGGGGGGGGGTCTGTTCTGGGGCCCATGGTATTTAAATTCGGCTCTGAAAATACCTATGTTGGAATTCATTCTACAAATGCTTACTGTGCATAATAGTGACATGATAAATGTTTGTTAATAAGATGTATAATCACCCGGGCACTAATGAAAATCGTATATCAACATGACATGCCTAGAATAAGGGAATCGGAGATCGAGCTGCTGAAGTTGATCAACACTACTTGGAGATGAAACGGATGCTGTCTACGGTTTTCCCAGAGCATTACGTAAATGATCACTTGGATTCAAATCGATTTTGATGGCCAGAATCTCTCTCGTGAAACAAAATGGATGGCATTGTTTGTGTTTCCCATTTTAATGTCCCTCGGTGGGACCGCGGTAAGTCTTCGAATTTAAAGCGCTAAAATCCGGGGTTCGATTCCCGTCAGTGGGCACATCGGATAGCCCGATGCGGCTTTGCTATAAGAACACAAACAAACAAATCATTCTTTAATGTCTTATTTTATGTTTAAAAAACTTATGTCAATACTCCCGTTTTCACGAACACAACCTTTCTCACAAGATTGGAATGGTATAATATAACGCCTTGTTCGAAGTTAGGTTATTTTGAACGATGTTCGGATATTTGTCAACGTAATATGAAGCGCGGTGCGGAATATTATTGTGCTGACTTTTTCATTTATCTATGTAATTTGGTATTCACGATAGGCATAAATTACATATATTGACCCGTGTAATTGGGCAAATTTATAATGTAAATAAATAAAGTTAAAGACCGCACCCGTTTTTGCGTCCGCCAATATGTTCTTGACAAGTCACCGTCTACACTTGTGCCTTGTCATAGCTGGAATACTCGTAGAAACTCCTATTATTCTGTTTCGAGCAGTGTAGTTAAGGGAAGTACGAAGCTATATATTAATGATAAATTTGAAAATCTGTATGGATTTTTCGTCTGTCATGGTAAGATAAAGCATGTGAAAATTTAAAAAAGTGGAAAAGACTGAAGTTTAGAATAGGTACAATAATTTCTAAAAAATGGAATATGATCTAATTTAAATTAATAATCACAGCACCATTGATGTAATTGTTTTAATTAAAAGTTATGCACATAACTAAAGGTCATAAATATACATAAAATGTGGACCTGTAAAGAGATTTACGATAGTAAGGGTTGAATCATAGAAGAATTGTACCATACATTAAAAATTACAGACTGAAATAGAGAGAATGTTTTATAGGCCGTCAACACTAGTTAGAGAAGTGAAAACTAACACGTTGATATAGTGTGACACCACGCATAATATTAACAAAGGTTAAAAATTAGAAAAAAACTTGCAAGTAAAAGTGAAAAATATTAAAATAGGGACATTAGTTATATAGAAAACATTATAATTCTAAATAAGCCAACTGTGATTTGGCTAGTGGGCATGATGCTATGCAATTCATACACAGAAAACTCTGAGAAAAAAATAACAATATGTTATTATTATTGATCAATCTCTCTCTTTTTTTTAATTTTATAATCGCAAAGACATATAATCTCAGAATAATTTTTACACTTTGTTTTAGAGCAAAGCCACGTTGGGCTATCTACTGTGTCCACCGCGAGGAATCAAACCCCAGATTTTAGCGTTGTAAGTCCTTAAATTTACCGCTGTCTC